CTAAAAAAAGGAATGGAAAGTCTCCCAAGGAGATCCGGAGAGCAGAGCAGCATGCTTCCATATCAGGCCTGCTTTTAAAAGGGAGAGGAGAGGAGGAGCACAGCCCCCCTTCTCCCAAGTTTCCCCAGGCCTCATGGGCTAGCTCAAGACGTTCCTTCGAGGGTCCTCCACCAGAGCAACTGACAGCTCACGCAGGGGGGTTTCTTGCACTTTGCACGGAGTGCCCCACGACCAAAGGCAGCCACTTCTTCCAGCGACTCTGCAGTACCACCGGCCAGCCACGGAGAGCCATTCCTCGGTCAGTCAGGCGCTCCTCACGTGGAAAGTGTTCCAAGTGCCAAAGGGATGGAGACGGCGCCCTTGGAGGCAGCATTCCGACAGAAGCAGCATCGACTCCTCAAGGGCAGCCAGCAGTGGAAAAGACCAAGCGGCCATCCGGCCCGAGGCAAGGACATTCCCAACACTGGCCCCTGAATCTATACCAGCCGGTTTTGAAACAGCTGCCTCCCGCTTTCTGTTCTAGGCCAGGTTAACAAAATTCAAGAAATCCGGAGAGGATCAAGGGTGCATTCAGCATCAAGTGTGCAAATGCAGGTCTCCGGAAAGGGCGAACTGTTAGGAAAGCAGGCCCATCACTTCCCACGGGGGTGGGCAAGAGAGGAGCCATGAGGTTTAACTCACAGTGCTGAACTCCAAGCCAACCCCTGGCGCTGGAGTGTTGCTGCCTAACACAGGGCTGAGCAAGAGGGGCTGAACTCTCTCTCTCTCTCCCACTGCTCTGCTCCCTGTCAGCCTTTCCCCATAAGAGTCACCTCCAGAAAGCGGCGTCTGCATGAGCCAGCCGGGCCTTGCCTGCTAGGGAAGCTGGCAGCTTGGAGTCCAAGACGGCGCCCACGCCCACGGGAACGTCTGGCGGGGCTCGGGCAGAACCTTCCGTGCTTCGGGCGATGACAGCCCCAGGCTGACAAGCCGCTCTGAGGACAGGGCCACGCTCTGCAGCCCAAAGAGAAAGGGAGGGAGAGGGCAGGCAAAGATTTCGGCAGGGAGACCATTGTGTGTGTGTGGGGGGAAGCTGGGGTTTTCGCCACTAGCTGAGCCCATAAGCACCTAATCCAGAACCTTGACAAAACGCTCCAGCTTTCCAAGAAACATTTTCCACCTCAAAACTATTTTATATGTATGCATGTATGCATGTATACACACATATACACACACACACACACACATGCACAGAGAGACAGAGAAAAAGTGCGATCTAATTGGTCAACTTTATTTTACATAGCGGTCTAACTAGCGCTGAAGAATAGATTCTTTTGAACCATGGTGCTGGAGAAGACTCTTGAGAGTCCCTTGGACTGCAAGAAGATCCAATCAGTCAATCCTAAAAGAAATCAACCCTGACTGTTCCCTGGAAGGCCAGATAATGAAACTGAAGCTCAAATACTTTGGCCACCCAATGAGAAGGGAGCACTCACTGGAGAAGAAGACCCTGATGCTGGGAAAGATTGAAGGTCAAAGAAGATGGGGACGGCAAAGGATGAGATGGGTAGACAGTGTCATCGATGCAACGAACATGAAATTGAGCCAACTTCAGAGGACGGCGGAAAACAGGAGGGCCTGGCGAGATCTTGTCCATGGGGTCGCGAAGAGTCGGACTCGACTGTGCGACTGAACAACAACAACTAACCAGAAGTCACACCAAAACTGGGGCTCGGGAGAGCTAACCGTGGCTTAGCACAATACCGACTTCGAGAAGCCATCGTTTGCCATGAACTGCCCCATGGGGTCGCGAAGAGTCGGACTCGACCCAGGAAAGGGATGCGGCTGGCCAGCCCGCTCAGAAGCCCAACCGGAGGCTGAGCACGGGGGCTTAAACCGGCCAGGAAGCACCAGAGCACCGCCTGACCAGGGGCTCTTCTCAAGGGAAACGCCGGCCTTCATGCACTGAGGAAGAGTGGAGGCATTCTGGCTCCGCCCAGCATGACCTGTGCGGGCGGCAGCAACGGGAAAAGGAAGCTCTTTAGCACTCTGCCGGCCCATCACCCACAACCGTCCTCTCTCTTGCAAAACTTACAAACAGAACCTCTGTGACCCCTGTCTCCGGGCAGAGGCCGTGATCAGGGATGGAGTCAGCTGGGGCCCTGAAAGCATGGCAGTGCAGACAGCGGGCGCGTCCCTGCCAACCTGTCCAAGCACAAACAGCCAAAGAACGCCACCTGCCACACCCAGAGCACCTGGCCTCCAGGTGCAGAGGAGAGGGGTGGGGCTGCCTCCGCTGCCCAGAAGAGCCGACTTCTTCCAGGCTGCTTCTCCTCTCATGAGGGACTCGTTAGCCAAAGCTCCCCACGGAAACTCTGCTCCCCAAAACACGCCTTTCACTTGTGCAGTTCAGCACCACGCGATGGGGCGATGGCTATGCGGGCTCGTTGCCCCATCAACAGCTACTTAGCCGGGGCAGGGGCAGAAAAAAGGAGCCGCCGTTTCCAAACGCCGCATGCGTCTCAGCCCCAGGAGCTATGGGAAAGGCCACTGCCGCTGTGCCCGGCTTATGAGGCGCCTGGCGGGCTGCCCTGGGAAACTGGCAGCCAGGGCAACGCGGAGCCTGGGCCTGATCCACCCGGGCTGCCCAGCGGAGCCAGGACTTCCGGCAGCAGGGAAGTCAGCTGTCACTTGAGCAGGAAGCCAGAAGCCGCCCGCTCGCACAGACGCATCACAAGGCCTCCAAAGAGCGCGGCGTCTGCACCGTCCTCCTCACCCACCCCACAAGTTGTCCTTGTCAGTATCTTCCCTGCCAAGCAAGCACGTGGACTATGCCAGACATCCTCAATCCAGAGGGGGGGGGGGGGGGGGGGGAGAAGTCAACCATCTGCGGCGGCCCCCGGAGCTCTTCCCCGACCACCGACCGACTGTCACAATTGCACAAGCCGGCAAGGAACATTTGCAGAGCAGCACAGGAAGAGAGAGGCTTCGCAGAGCGCAGGAAAGAGCGAAGACTCCTCGTCTCCTCAGACTCTCCCCCACAAATCTGAACTTCAGGCAGCCACAGACCAACCTCCTTCCAGCCCTCCGACTGAACATCCAATCGGTTCAGCCACACAAGCCCACTGCAGGGAAAAAAAGGCAAAGAGGCGTACCGTGGCACTGCAAAAACCAACAGATTTACTCCAGCAGATGCTTTTGTGGCTTCTGGTCCACAAGTTTCATGTCATGAACCTGACAGTGGAGACCGTAGCTCACCTTTAAGATGCCATAAGACACTGGCCGCCCCCACCCCCACCCCCGGCTGGTTTCTGCTTCAGCCTCCTCATCATGAGGCACAGGGGAGCCCCCACAAAGAGGACCTGCTGCTGCACCCCACAACAGGCAGCCAGTTTTCAAAAACATCAGCACACCTGCCTGTCCCCCAGGCATCCCAGCAAGGGAATCCAACAGCCAAGGAACAGCGACCAAGGCAAGGTCTCCCCGCCTCCCTCGCCACCTCAAGCAGGGGTCTGAAGAGGCGGCACAGAAACACCCCCCATAAACTGCCTCCCTCCCGCCTTGCTTTTGCAGCTGCCGCCTAAGAAGCTCTCTGGAGAGACCGGTTCCTCCACCCACTTCCTCCTCCAGAAAGAGGCGCACAAAAGCTCACCCACGGGGGAAGGAGGCAGGCAGCCTTGACAGAGGTTCCCGCAACACACCAGGCAGCCCTCCCTAACTCTAACGGTCCTGGTGAGGGAGCCCCAGCCCTGCTATCCATGGCCAGGCTGCAAACCCGACCTTCAGCCCCTCCCTCCCCCCCCATCAGTTTTTCTACAGACTGCTCCAGGCGTCACTCACTTTGGGCACCTCAGCGTCAGGGGTATTTAGACTGCCAATCTGTGTGCGTGGGCACATCTGCTCTTTGAGAAGTTGACGCGTGCAGTGCCCAGCGCCACTGCCGCCACAGTCAGCAGCAGAGGGAAGAGAACAAAACGGGGCAAGGCCCCCCCCCGCCACCCCACCTGTCCTCCCGGCCCTCCAGGACACAGCACCACCCCCCTACAAGGTCAGTCACACCCGGCAGAAGCCTAGCAGGTCTCTCTCCCTTAACAGAACCAGCTGCAGAGGGAGCAGAGGAAATTCTGCCTCACTCCTCAGCCGCTTTCCTCCCCCTCGCAAATCTTCCTGCCAATCAAACCTACACTGCAGAAACCCACGGTGGATCCCCATCTCTCTCTCTCTCTCTTCCTCCCTCGTGGCAGACTAGAACACCCACCCACCCACTTTGCACCTTCTTGGCATTTGAGAGATCTGCATCCTCCAGAGCCCCCCTCTTCCTCCCAAAGAGGAGCTGGAAAAAATCTTTGCATTCCCCTCTGGCTCCGCAGGAGGCCATCTCTCCGTAGACAGGACAGCTGACATCCCCCCCCTCCAGTGCAAACCCCCTCTGTTCCGCAAAGGGCATTTAGCAGTCCCTCCCTCCTGTGTGGCGTCCCAGGCTCTTGCAGGGGCCTGTCCATGAGCGAGGAGATAACCCACACGGCCACTCCGGCTTCTCCCCAGGGGAAGGGGGGTCTCCACATCAAGAACCTCCCAGTCAGCCCAAACGCCTTGGAATTACCCCCATGAAAGACTGCAGAGGAAGCCAAGCGCAGGGATGGAGGAAAGGAAACCAAGAGGCATCCGTGGACCCGCAGGCCTCGCAGAGCCAGGCCTTGCAGAGCCAGACCAAAGCAGAGCCACGGAGAACTAGCACTCAAGCCCCCCGCCTCACTCCAGCCCCTTGCAACGTGGCCTACCTGGCAGGGCTCTATGCACTTAACGAGGGGAGCCAAAAGACCCAGTTATTAAGTGGGAGGGGCTTGGAGGGCAAATACAGAAATCCGACGGAGGAGGGGGGTCTACCCGGAGGGCGCAGAGGGAAGAGTGGGCGGAGCCAAGGGAGGGGCGTGGCCAGGAGAAGACGGTGGGAAGGGGATTGGGGGCGGGGCGAAAGGGAGGCTGCGGGAGGGGCCAAGGCTTCCGACCACGCCTCTCACCCGCCTGCGTGGTGTCGCTGAGGTCCCAGCGCCGGGCTGCTCCGCCGGGGAAGTGCCTCAGGTGCCGGCCCGCCAGGCTCAGCTTCCCTGAGGCCGCCGCTTCTTCCAGGGCGCGCTCGGGGCCCGGCAGGAAGGGGGAGGGCGGGGGCAGCGACTCGGCCCCGCCCTCGCCCGCCGCCATGCCGCAGGTTCCGCTCTTTCCGTTGCGGCAGCGCTGGCCGAATGAACGCTCTGAGGCGGACACAGCGAGACCCCTGCCAAAGGGGGCGGGCCGTGAAGCGGCGCCGTAGCCTATCAGAAGCCCGGCACGAGGCACGATACCAATCGCAGGAAGGCTGGCGAGGCCCTTAACACCCGGTAGCCAATCCAATGGACGCATGAGGGTCAGGTCTTCCTCTTTCCGCTCCAATCCGGTGCCGGAGGCTAGAGAGAGAGGACGTTAGTGGGCTTCTAGCCAATGAGTCGTTCCTGAAGAGCACTGACTGCCACTTAAACCAATCACCGGCAAAGAAGGAGGTTCGCCCGGCCCCCTTTTTCCTTCGGCGCCTCGCGCCGCCGCGCGTCCTCCCTCTTCAGCAAATGAAATTCGAAGAAGGCGGGGTGGTGTAACTATTTTCCAATCAGTCAGCGGCCAAACAGGCCTTGGCCTTATCACAGCGTGCAGCCTACGGGAGTAGGCGTGTCCTGGCATGTGAATGACAGCCGTTTTACCAATCAGACAAGAAGTGACGCCTCCCGGTGCTTTCGGCGGCAACGATTGAAAGACTGGGAGAGGGAGGAGAGGCGTTTGTTCCATCTTGGGGCAACAGCCGGCCCGGAAAGGGAAGAGTGACAGCTAGAGGGCAAATCCACCGGGGAGGGGGGGGAAATCTCCTTGGGGGAGCAGACCAATCAGGGTCAAAGTTACCTCAGGGGGAGGCGGGTCCGACAACGTTGAAAGATAAGGGGCCTGACCAATCAGTAACAGGAGAGTGGGCCGTTTATCCCTGAGTGGCACACCGCTTTGCCAATAGGAGTCGGGTGGGCCCCGGGGGGCGGCCGACCGGAGGGGTCCGCGGGGGCAGACCTGAAAACTGCATCTGCACTCATTCGCCCTTGATTCCCCCCCCCCATCTGCACGTGGGACTGCTGGCCCTTAAGGAGACCCCCCAGAAGAGCTCTGCTGGATCTAGGGTTGCCAGGCCTGGGCGATACCGGGGGACTTTGGGGGTGGGGCCGGGAGAGGGCGGGGCTTGGGGCGGGGCCTCAGCAGGGGCACCATGGCGACAGAGCCCGCCCTCCAAGGCAGCCGCTTTCTTTCTCCCGGGGAGCGGGTCTCTGTCAGCTGGAGGTCAGTTGTGAAAGCGGGAGGTCCCCAGGCCCCGCCTGGAGGCTCTGGCAACCCTCCTTGTTTGAAACGCCGCCCCGCCCCGCCCCCCCCGCGCTTCCTTGCAGCGCTCCAGGCGGCTGGCAATCTAGGTAAAGGTAAAGGTCTCCCTTGCTCGAAAGCCAGTCGAGTCCGACTCTAGGGTTGCGGTGCTCATCTCCGTTTCAAAGCCGAAGAGCCAGCGCTGTCCGAAGACGTTTCCGTGGTCATGTGGCCGGCATGACTAGACACCAAGGCGCACGGAACGGCTGGCAATATAGGTACAGTTCATAAAGACAGAATGCATCAAAGAACACCACCATGTCAGGCTGCTGGCACCTCAATGGGATGTGGCCCTAAATAAAACCACCTTCAGCTGACTCCTGAAGGGCAAAAGGCCAGGGGCTCCTCCCTGTGTGTGTATCTGTGTGTGGGGGGGTGTTCCATAATTGTGGGGCTCCCACCACAGAGGCCCCCTCTCTTCTGTGCTCTGATTGATGGGGACGGTCAGGAGGGCCTCTCCCTGTGACCTTCATTCCTGGGGCAGGAATGACAGAGAAGAGGCTCCTTCAGACACCCCAGTCCCAAGCCAGACAGGACTTTAAAGGACAAAACCAGCCACTTTAATTGGGCTTGGGAGCAATGCTCCCTCTAAGCTGTGGAGTCTTGTGAGCGGAAATTCTACTTTATGAGCTGTTAGCATTAAAGTTGTGTGCAAGCGATTTGGCTACTGCATAAATTAGTTTGCTCTGGAGCCCTCCTTCCTGAGCTGAGACAAAAATCTGTGAGCTGGAGGCTGAAAAACTGTGAGCAAGCTCACAGTAACTCAGCTCAAGAGGGAACACTGCTTGGGAGCAGACCGGTAGCCAGTGTAATGCTGTAATATTGGGTCACATGCTGGCCCCCACCAGCAGTCCAGCCATAGTGTTCTGCATGAGCTGCAGCTTCCAAACACTGTTCATGGGTAGCCCCAAGTAGAATACATTGCAGGAGTCCAGCCTGGATGTAACTAAGGCATGGGTCACTGTGGTTAGGTCAGACTGAGCCAGGAATGGGCGCAACTGGGGCACCAACCGAAGCTGGGTGAAAGCACGCTGAACCACACAGCAGCCACCAGGTTGCCCAAGATGACTCCCGTGTCAAGCAGCACTCCCAAGCTGCAAACCTGGTTTTTCAAGAGGAGTGCAACCCCCAAGCAAGACAGGGGAGACCTCAAGTCCCTGGTCTGCCTTTCCACTTACCAAGAGTACCTCTGTCGTGTGCAATGGTCAAGGATCCCTGGGACACAACATGGCTGCCTTTGTGCCCAGGAGCAGGAAGGTCCTCGGCACACGGGTAACAAAGACAGCCCTGGATGAGCACTGATGTCACAGTGCCCCAGTTACCAGGGGAACCCGGGTCTCTGTGAAGCCAGCAGGCCTGCTATTATCACATAGTGCCATGTCCCCTAGGGCGATTGACCATGTGGACAGAGGCATTGAAAAGCCTTGGCCATGCTGGGCCCAGCAACAAGGGTGGGTCTGAGAGCTCACCCCCACCACACAGGCTCCGGCTGGGTGGGCAGACATGAGCGACAGGCGCATTGCTCGGAAGCTCAGGAGGAGAAAGCTCCAGCGCTTCTCCCACATCTCTAGCACTGAGGAACCGCTTGGAGTGAGCATGCTATATTTGCAAAGGAAGGTTGCCCAGAGCAGGCAGGGACTGGGGGAGGAGGAGGACACAGTCTGCTGCAGGGGTCGGGGAAGGTGGCTCAGTGGGAGAGGGAGCTTGAGCGGGGGCACAGGCCCCGTTGCACCCAGACAGCCTGATTTAAACCCAATCAGACTGAGGCCAAGGCTTGCATTCTTTCAAATAATGGGCAAAATGCACACACGTTGACCTTTTTGCCTAGCAGGTTTGGCTGTCTTGACTCAGTCCTGTGCCCATGATGTCATTGGCACTCAACGTGCCCTGCAAAATCTTGGAGAAGTGAGTCAGAGCTGTATCTGTTAGTTCACAGTAGGGATGTGTCCTCCTAGGACTTTCCAAATACGGATCAAAAGAACAAAATCACTGAGAAAAGATAATATTGCTTACATTGCCATGTTCATAATTGCCCCGTGAATGATCTGTAACGGAATAGAATCCCTTTCTAGCATTAAGTGTCCACATGCATCAAACTTTTTGACCAGTCAAGATTCTGGCTGTGTGATTTTTGTTATCTTTAGAGAAGGGGATTCTTGCCCCCTGGTGCACAGCTAGGGAAATGCACCAAGAACTAGCATCCTGTGGTGGTGGAGTGCCAGGTTAGGACCTGGAAGACGATCCAGGCTTGGAAGGTCACAGGGAGATCCTGGGCCAGTCTAACCTACCACATGCAGCCTAACCTACCTCACAGGGTTGTTGTGAGGGGGAAGGAGGAGAGGAAAATGATATAAACCACTGGGTACCTAGTGGGAAGCAAGGAGGGCATAAAGGGAGTAAAAATAATAAAAAGATTTTGTGCATCATTCTCTTAGAGCATTGATCACATTCCTCCTATTCCGTTTGCCCAACTAAACTAAATTAGGGTGAATCCCTTTTAACTCTAGATGGCTCCCACTGCACCCCAGGAGCCCTTGTTCCAAGTGGGCCCCGAGAACCCTTGGCTGGAGCATCTCCTTAGGACTTAAGAAATGAAGCTGGCAGACGGGAGCCTCTGGGCCACACCTGAGGTTTCCCTGGCAAGCCGCCTGTGCGTTTTAGGGGGGGGGGGGCAGCAGCCAGAAACCCATCATTTCCAGCCTGCAGCCACTGAAACACGGCCTGCCCATGCAGCTGCTGAAGGCAGGAGAGCTGTGCCAGGGAACTCACGGTGTCCGTCCTAGAAACTCAGTGACTCCTGGCCAGAAGTTGGGGTTCAGCACCTCTTCTTTTTTTTCAGTTGAAGCACCAGAAATAAGACTGTCCAGGCCTGCTCACCCTTTCCCCTCATTTCCTTTCCTCCTCCCTCAGCAGCCCAAGAAGAAGCAACGCCGCTCATCCGCTGAAACGAAGGACGGCGGAGACCCCACCTCTATCCAGATTTTCCCTCCAGAGCTGGTAGGTGAGGGGGGTTTGGGAGTGGGTGGACCTTCCTGCATCGTTTCGGAGGGTGGCCGTGTGGGTCAGTGGTGGAACAGTCAGATCCGAGTCCAGGAGTGCCTCAGAGACCCACGAGAGTTTCTGGGGTGTGAGCATTCCAGAGTCACCCTTTGCGAGCCTTCTTTACGACTCCCCCCCACACACACACACCTTCTGACGGGGATAAAAGGATTCTGAGAGAGAACTCCATTCCTCCTCCTCTCTGACGAAGGGCGCTTTGACTCTTGAAAGAACACGCCCCGAAACTCCTCTTGCTTTCCCTGAAGTAGTACCGGACTCAGATCCAGCTGTCCTTCCTGTGCAGTGACTGAGTCTCTTTTTCTCTCTCTCCCCCCTGCCACCGCCCAGTTGTACTACATCATCTCCTTCTTGCCAGTGAAGGACGTGGTCTCTCTGGGCCAGACCTGCCGGTACTTCTACGAGGTGTGCGACAGCGAGGGGATCTGGCAGAGGATTTGCCGTCGCCTGTCCCCTCGGCTGCGGAATGAGAACTCAGGTGGCAGCCGGCCCTGGAAGCGCTCAGCCATCCTCAACTGTCAGTATAGCTTGGTGTGAAACGGGGTGCTCAGAGAACCGGGGGAAGGGTGGCGTTTGCACGGGGGGGAGGGAGTCCTGTGCACGAGAAGAGGTGGTCTTTGCACGGGGGAGGGTGGCGTCCTTACGAAGGCTGAGCAGAAACAAAGTGAGTCTTGCCCCCTGCCCCGCCACAAACGCCCCCGGGGAAGGGGAAAGTGTTGCTGAGTCAGCTCCTCCAGAGAGACCCAATTCCCCTGCCCTGGGGTCTTTCTGTCCCACAGACACCAAGGGCTTGTACTTCCAGATGTTCAGTGGCCGCCGGCACTTCGTCAGCAAGACAGTCGCCCCGCTGCTCTCGCATGGCTACCGGAAGTTCTTGCCCACCAAGGACCACGTCTTCATCCTTGACTACAATGGCACCCTCTTCTTCCTCAAGAACGCTCTGGTCTCCTCCACCATGGGCCACGTCCAGTGGCGCCGTGCCTGCCGCTACGTGGTGCTGTGCCGCAGTGCCAAGGATGTAGGTGCCTGGGTGGGGGAAGCCTTGCCTTGCAGCAGATGCTGAAAGGGGGTGGAGCGCGGTTCCAAACAGGGTTTCATGCCACTGCTGCATTCACGGGGTGCACAGAGGCATGGCCCAGAACATGCAAGTGATGGAGGAAAGAGTCTCACTTGTTAGCGGGTTCCAGAGAAAGAGCACCTCACTGCTGCTTTCCCATCTCTGAGATACCTAGCTGCCCATCAGAGAAGGGTTATTCTAGGGGGGAAGGGCCTCAGAGAAGTTCAACCCCCTTCCTGGGGACCTGCCCTCTTCAGGGTCAGCTAGGTCCGATGGTGGCGGTGGCCTGCCAGAGAGAGGAGCTCTCCAGGGGCACATCACACGTAGCCCTCTTGGGGGCATGACCTCCTGCCGCCAGGACTGTCCTGTGTTCCTAAGGCCTCAGCTCAGGGAAACCTTTTCTGTCCCTTGATTACCTGCTGCCTTTTCAGTCACTTCTACTGCAAGCCTCACCATGTGTCCTGAGCAGCAGCATCTTCCTGTGAAAGAGAAACAAAACGAGCTGTGCAGGAACTGGGCCTAGAGTGGCCAGATATTTGCCAGATGAAACTTTGCCCAGCACTTTCAGTTCCTCTCAGGGGGGAAACTTCCCCTCTGTTCCACGACAGAAAATGGAGAAACACAGTCTCTTAAAATCGAAGGAATGGGCAAAGAGCCTGAAAGCAAATCGGCTAAGGGTGAAAGAGTGGGGAGGGGCTGTGGCTCAGTGGTAGATCATAGAATCACAGAGTTGGAAGGGGCTCTACAGGCCATCTAGTCCAACCCCCTCTGCTCAGTGCAGGATCAACCTAGAGCATCCCTGGCAAGTGTTTGAAGACTGCCAGTGGGGGGGAACTCACCACCTCCCTAGGCAGCTGATTCCACTGCTACACAACTCTGACTGTCAAAAAGTTTCTTCTAAGATCCAACCGGTACCTTCTCACCTTTAATTTAAACCCATGATTGCGAGTCCTCTCCGCTGCTGCCACCAGGAACAGCTCCCTGCCCTCCTCTAAGTGAGAGCCCTTCAAATGCTTTAAGAGAGCGACCATGTCCCCCCTCAACCTCCTCTTCTTCAGACTAAATTTTCCCAAGTCCCTCAGCCTGCTTGGCGTGCAGAAGGCTCCAGGTTCAATCCTCAGCATCTCCAGTTAAAGGGATCAGGTAATGGGGGTGGTAAAAGGCCTCAGGCCCTGGAGAGCCGCTGCCGGTCTGAGTAGACGATACTGGCCTTGATGGACCAAGAGGCTGATTCAGTGGAAGGCGGCTTCGTGCATCCTACATGTATAAGCAGGACAAGAATAGAAGAAGGCTTCCGCAGCACTTGCGTGAACCATGTTTCTTGTGTCTGGATGATTCAAAAACAGATACAAGAATGTGACCTGAATAAGGAAAAGGAGTGTGTAGACAGGGGGAAAAGAAGAACCAATGGATGTACTCAAGGATCCATGTTCATCTCTCAACCCATGAGAATGATGGAGGATGGAGCCTGAGAAATGAACTGGTCTAAGACCCATTAGTCCATCCTTGAGCTGAATGGCAGGGCCCATCCTTGGAAGGCAGGAAGTCCCAGGTTCAGTCCCTGGCATCTCCCTCTGCCCTGACCCCTGTGAGCCAGGCGGATCAACATTCTGACTCAATATAAGGCAGCTTTCGTATATATATAACAACTCACAGCCAAGGTGCTCCCCTCTCAGCTGTGGAGTCCGGTGTGCAAAAATTCTACTTTGTGAGCTCTCCTGGGCATTCAAGTTGTGAGTGAGTGATTTGGCTACTGCATAAATTAGTTTGCTCTGGAGCCATCCTTCCTGAGCTAAGGCAAAATTGTGTGAGCTGGAGGCTAACAAACTGTGAGCTCGCTCACACTAACTCACCTTAGAGGGAACACAGCTCACAGCTATTATGCTACACCTGCTCTTAAATAAAATTGGAGCTTTGATTGTCTTGAATTCCAGGGGAAGAGTTAGAGATGGAGACTGAAATCTGGGCAGGGACTTGGGACATCTAGTTTAGGATGAGGTATTGAAATCATAACCCCTTTAATATTCAGCTATTGGCAAGTATAGAGGGTAGGCTCTGTGCCCTGTATATTGCGCCATGGCCTTGCCTAGTCCTACAGAGACTCATGCTGCAATAAAAAGTATGCCAGCTGACCAGTCATCTTTGCCATAGCAGTTGGCAGCCCCTCAATACCTTTGGATGGCCAAGAGGAAGGAGATATTCCAGTGCCCTCAGATGCAGAAGGTGACCTTCCTGGTCCAGTCGCTTCCCTCTCTAGAGCAACACTAAACACAGTTCCCTGCAGCAAGATTTTGAGTTCCCTGGCATCCTTTCTTCTTCTGTCCGTAGTTTGCCACAGACCCCAGGAGTGACACCGTGTATCGTAAATACCTGTATGTGCTGGCAACCCGGGAACAGCCGGTAGCCACAGTGATGGGGCGCAGTGAGGCTGGAACAGCTGCTGGCAGCCGCCTCTGTGACTGCGTGGAGGTCTACCTGCAATCCAGTGGGCAGCGAGTGTTCAAGATGACCTTCCACTTCTCCATGAAGTTCAAGCAGATTGTGTTGGTGGGGCAGGAGACGGAGAGGACCCTCTTACTTCTGACAGGTGAGAGGAGAGAGAGCCGGAGAACTGCTGCCCCCCCCCCAATGGGCACAGAGTCAGCAAAGGTTGGGGACAGAGAGCAGCCACACCTTTCGGTTTAGCAAAGGCCTTTTCACACCTGCTCTGTTCTCATTCCTCTTCCAAGAGGACCGTGCCCATTGCTCCCAGACCTCTTAATCTCATAATGTTGCCAGATTGGGACACGTACCCACCATCCTTTCCCAGAGAGCCTCTGTCTACTGCCGAGAGAGAGCCCTTCTGCACTAGAGAGCTCTGAGACGTCCTCCTATGACTTGCGAGGAAAAATACAAACGAGCCTTTGCATGCAGTGCGCACACAGCCCTTCCAGAGGCAAGTCCTCTCTCCTCCCAGAAAGAAGCCCACGCCTGCCAGTTTGGTGCATGTGAGTGCAGCCTAACGTTCACCTTGCGGGGTGGGCTGTTTCTCTGCAGAGGAAGGGAAGATCTACAGTCTGGTGGTGAACGAGACACAACTGGACCAGCCTCGCTCCTACACTGTGCAGCTGGCTCTGCGCAAAGTCTCCAAGTGCCTCCCCCACGTCTCCATCCGCCACATGCACTCCAACCAAAGCAGTGCGCTCTACCTCACAGGTAACTGGCTGCTCCGCTGGCAAGACCAGGCCCCGCAGCCCAAAGGCAGACCGCTCAGTCGTGTGTCTTGCCCACAGCACGGCCACTGCTGATTCCCAGTCACTCAGCTGCAGATGCTACACAGCGCTTAAGAGTGGCATTGTCCACAGCCAGAGCCGGCCCTGGGTGTAGTGGCTGAAGTGCTGGGGGGGGGGCAGGGAGACACGGGACTGGATCCCCACACTGCCATGGAAGCTGGCGGGGGGGACCTTGGGCCAGGCACACACCGACAGCCTAATCTGCCTCATAGGGCGGTTGTGAGGATGGAACAGAGGCAAGGAGGGTGTCTGCATGAACCACTTTGGGTCCCCAGTGGGGAGAAAAGCAGGATATAAGTAAAGTACATAACGTAAGTGGCCACCATCGCAGGAGGAAATTGGGGGCTGAGAAATGGCCAGTGGGCACTGAGGGAGAAAAGCACAGGTGGAGCCGGAGGTTTAGGAAAGCGGCTGCTGGAGGGAAGGTCTTTGCAGGAGGAGGAGGAGAAGCAGCCTGAGGAGCAGGGAGTGAGGGGCTGTTTCATGCAAGGTGCAGTGACGGAGGAGGGAGCAGGAGACAGCAGGGTCTGGGTGGGCGGAGGCAGAGAGGAATCGCAGGTGGAGGCGGAGAGGAGGGAGGCCGTGCAGCAGCGTGGGGTGGGAAGTTTTGAAAATGGGGCCTGGAAGCCTGACCTTGATGCTAAGCATGGAGGGCCCTCCACACGAGTTGGTTGGTGCCCCCTTCCGTTTTGCCTCGGGCACAGACGTTCTGCGCTGGGGGAGCCGGCTGAGATGGTTCGGCCATGATCCTCTCTCCCCTCTGCAGATGAAGGGGCTGTGTACTTCGAGGTCCACTCTCCCGGTGTTTACCGTGACCTCTTTGGCACCCTCCATGCTTTCGACCCACTGGATCAGCAGATGCCCCTGGCCCTCTCTCTTCCTGCGAAGGTAACACAAAGTGGGACTGTGCCCCCCCCCTACACGCACCCCCCCAGCTTTGGGTAGCATGAATGGAAGAAGTGTATACAAGACGGGTCTCTGAGGTTTCCGTGCCAGGAAGTGGAGAGTTGGCCGGCCGGCCTGTCTCCTTTCCCTTTCTGTCCTTGCCGCCCTCGAGCCCTCCAGCTGCTGGGGCTCAGCGGCAAGCCACCCTCAGGAGGACCTGGGGACTCTGGCCTCCACAGCCATTGCAAGCAGTGGGCAGCCAGGGAGTCCGTATGTTTGCCATGGTGTAGGTCACCAACACTGCCACAGCAGAGAAAGAAACCAGGCCCTCTGGCCTCCATGTCCGAGTTCTGTAATGAAGGTTTGGGAGGGCTGGCATCCCCTAATAGTCCTGACTCCTGACCGCTTCCCCCTTTTCTCCGAGGAGCGGCAATCTGCACATGGGCAGACGTTCTTTAGGAGCCAGGCTGGGCATCGGCAGCAGGCTGTGAGGCCGGGTGGCCAAGACCCAGGATGCCTCACGCCTCTTGCCGCAGTCCAATCAAGCCCTCAGCCCTTCCTTTGCCCCACCTCTGCTTACCTCCAGGTGCTCACCTGTGCCCTTGGTTACAACCATCTGGGGCTAGTGGATGAGTTTGGGAGGATGTTCATGCAAGGGAATAACCGCTATGGCCAGCTTGGCACAGGAGACAAGATTGACCGAGGGGAGCCTGCTCAGGTGAGATGCGAGGGGCGGGGAGCAGATCACCCAAGTGAGGTGCAGGGGGAGGGGAGAGCCCACAGCCCGCGGGAGGTGCTGAGGGGGAGCGGCAGACTGCCCAGTCCCCGTTCCCTCTTCCACGGGGTCAGTGGTCCTGGGAGACAAGAAGACCGGTGAGCCTGGCCTGTCCATCGCCCAGTGTCAGCCTTGCTCCCTGCAACAGCATCGCAACCTGTGGGATTTTGGGCTCATGCTGGTTTGGGGCAAGTCAGCCCCATTCTGTGGGCTGTGCAGCCACGGGGGGGGGGGGGGTGAATACTCCTAAAGCCAGCAAATCAGATAGAGAGTTGGAACACAATTCTGTCTTGAGTCATTCAGTCTGATTAAACCCTGCTAGTAGCAGGAGACTTCCCAAATGCACCTTCTCTAGAGTAGTCCCTCTGCCCTACTCAGACACCTTCTGTTCCCTTCCCATCCAGGTGCACTACCTGAAGTGCCCCATCGACCTGTGGTGTGGCCTCAACCACACGCTGGTGCTGAGCCACAGCGGAGACCTTGGGAAAGACCTCATGGGCTGCGGCTGTGGCGCTGGAGGGCGCCTCCCTGGGTGGCCAAAAGGCAATGCCTCTTTTGTCCGGCTGCATATCAAGGTGAGGGGAATCCCTTGTGGGGAGGGCAGGGGCAGGAGGGTGGCCGCTGGGAACCTGGCGCAGCAGGGACTCCTTGCCAATGGAAGCGCCCAGTATGGAAGTCCGGCACTCCTGGGCAATCCTCAGAATCTGAGCTTTGCCCTCCCCCCCTCGGCCAGCTGTTCCTTTTTGTCTGTCTGCTTCTCCAAAGAGCAACTTTCCAAAGTTAAAAGCAGAGCATTTTCCCGTACAGGCCAAGACATTTCAGCCGGTCTGAGTGAGGCTTCTAATGGGTCAGAAAGTGGAGGCAATCACTGAGTCCCTCCCCCACTCCCCTCCCTGCAATTTTTCCAAAATATTTTCTCTACCCACCATTGAATGGGAGAAAGATGACATAATTTGGCATAAAACAAAAACTCCTCCAAACTGAGTAAGGAAAAGGGTCACCCACTTTTTGCAGAGCCCGCAGGTACATGCAGAGTTGCCCAAGGGACCCAGTGGATTGCACGCTGCTGAAGAGAGTGTCTCGTAACCCTAGAAGCCCTTCTCCTCCCGGCACGCAGAGCCTCTCCCGTGCTGGTCTCACCCTGGCCGCCCCCCTGCTGCAGGTGCCCCCCTGTGTCCGCCGCATCTGCTCCACCCGCGAGTGCCTCTACATGCTGTCCACCCACGACATTGAGGAAGTGCCTGCCTACCGAGAGCTGCCGGCCAGCAAGGCAGGACTGCTGCCCAGCGACACTGAGGCCATGGCCGCCCGGGCGTGTGAGGAGTACCTGAGCCAGCTGCACAGGTGCCGGACGCTAGAGGGGCGCATGGCCAAGATGAAGGAAGCCGTGGGCAGTATGCCTCTCATGACGTTCCAGAAAGACTTCTTCTGGGAGGCTCTGGACATGATCCAGCGGGCAGCTGAACTCCGAGGCTCCCCTCCTTCCAGCTAGCCCACAGACCGTGGCCTCCCCATTCCTCCCGTCCCCGTTACCCACCCCTGTACACATCATGGATCATGATTAAGAGATAGAGAAGACTTCAGACTGAACAATTGGGAATAAATAAACTACAAGCACAGATCTAATGCCGCTTCCACTGGACCATGCAGGGGTAAGTGACAAACAGCCCTACGGGGCCATCAGAAGGACAGGGAGTGTTTGGTGAGGGGTGCCCCTCCAGCGACCGTGTGGCTGGCACCAGGCCTCCCCTTCCTGCCCCCCTATCTCTGGCACACCTTCTCTGGAGTCCCTCTAGTCAGTCAGCCTCAGAGGGCAGCCAAAGCCACGGGCTGCTGTGCGACAGACAGCTGGATGCAAGTCCAGGAGCACTTGAGAGCCCAACAGGATTTTTGGTGGGCAGGAGCCTTTGAGAGTCTGACGAAGAAGGGAGCCTTGATTCTCGGAAGCTTCTCCTCCAAAACTCTCCCTGGTCTCTGAGGTGCTCCAGGGCTTGAATCCAGCTCTCCAGCCAATCAATTATTAACGGGAGAATGCTGGTGGCAGTCTGCTTCTCTCTTCCTGCCCCCTCCCCCAGTGATTGCTGGTCAGAATGTCAGACAAGGGTTTGGGAGGACCCGGGTTCGAATCCCCTACTCTGCCCTGGAGGCTGGCTGGTGCCGGTCTTAGCCCATCCTACCTCACAGGATTGTTGGGAGGATAGAAGGGTGCGAGCTGTGTCTGGTCCTCACTGGGGAGAAAGGCAGGATAGAAAACGAAAGAAAGCAGCCTTTCACCCACCCACCCCGCAGAGGTTTAAGGGCCAGGGGGCGTGTCAGTGTTGGGGGCACTGCTCATCTCCTCAGCAACAGCTCCAAACGTGCTTTCTCAGCTTAAAGGGCCTGCCATGCCACGTCTGTAGTGGGGAGGACAAAGGCCCTGCGAGAACTGCCCTCTGATCCCAGGACTAAGTCTGCCCAGTGCCCAAGGACCCTGGCAGGTGCTTCTGGGTAGCCAGCAGCTTTGCTGGTTCAATGTTCCCAGCGTTCGGGGGGGGGGGGGACAGGGAGAGAGAAAGAGGGTGGACTGAAGGGAGATCAGGCACCCAGTGACATGGATGGGGAGGCAGCTTCAGGGCTGATCAGAGGCAACACTTCTTCCCTGAAAGTAATTAACCTGAGGAATTCACTGCCACAAGGCGTAGTCCTCCTAACTGCTACCTTAGATGGCTTTAAAAGGGCACTAGACAGGCTCATGGAGGAGGAGGAGGAAGAGAAGAGAAGAAAGAGAGGCTGGATCTATACCCCATGGCCCTTCACTACCCAAGGGAGTCTCAGAGCGGCTGACAAACTCCTTCCCCTTCCCCTCCCCACAACAGGCAGACACCCTGTGAGGGAGGCGGGGCTGAGAGAGCTCTTGACAGAAACTGCTCTTTTTCAAGGACAGGAGAGGTCTTTCAAGAGGAGAGGTCTGTCAAAGGATCCTGGCCATGATGGCCCAATAGATCCTCCATGTCCAGAGAGGGTGCACCTGCCTGCCTCGCCCAGTTGTATGCTTCCCAGAGGAATCTGGTGGGCTGCTGTGGGAAACAAGACACTGGGCTAGATCGACCCACCTAGGCATGTAAGGGACTTGTCCTGGGAGAAGGGCTCTGAGCCCCCTGCACGCCTCCGGAGAGCAGGACTCCCCACTCCTGGTCCCCAGCTCACCTTTCAGAGGCTGCCAGTTTCCCTGGACAGGTGCCTGCTTTTCTCCCACAGGCGTCTGGGTTTCACTTTCGCCCAAATGCACCCCTCATCCAGGCATGGTCAGTTTCCTCCTCCTCCTCCTGTCTCTGGCCCCACCAGTCAGCACAGTCGCTCTGTGCTCCCCAGGAGAATGAAGGGCCTGGCTTGGCCTTGCCTACTCTGGGAGTTCAAGGACTTCTAGGAAAGTTCATGGCCAGGTTCACCTGCCCTAGGCTAACTCTCTCTTCGCTCAGCCCGCCTTGAGAAGGAGGCCCATGCGCAGGCTGGGCATGGCTGAGCCGGCATCCGGGAAGCAGGCAGGTACCCTGCCACTGGGAGTCAGAGTCCACAGGAGAAGCCAGGTAGATGCCCAATAGGATAGCCCTGCAGACTCAATTTAGGGGAGGGGCCCGGGCTGGTGCATGGCGTGCACAAGGCCCCTAGTGTGATGCCAGCAGGGACTGCGGAAGGTCTCTCTCTCTCTGCCAGAGCCCTTCTGCCAGTCAGACAAGACCATCGTCAGGAAGGTGGCTCAGGAATCTGCCTCCGTATAAGGCAGGTCCGTACGTTTCTACCTGTCCCTCTATCGATTTGCAGCGACTGGAGGTGCACTGTCTTGGAACAGGAAGGTGGTTTTTCTGGCTATCATGGCTGATAGACAGATTGGTCTAATCCTTTTGTAAAGGTCCGGTTCTGCTAAGAGCCTGTGGCAATGAGTTCCACAAGATGGGCTTTCTTTCCTTCTTCCCTGACCTACTGTGTGCTTTACTGGATTGCCCTTGGTTTTTGTGTGAATGTTTTTCTTTTCTTACACACACACGTAACCATTAATTAAAGAGCCTCCTTTAATAAGCAGACAGCACCTTAAAGATATTCCCGTACAAGCTGCCATGAGGCAGAGTTCCCTTCATCAAAGGTGTGACGAAAGGAGCCTTCATCCATGGCGGGGAAAAGAGGGATGGGGGGGACGACTCCTATTTTAAATATAAATACACGTTATCTCCATATGCAAGGACCAATATCAAACGCGTTTCTGCACCTGGCCTTCTTCAGAGGTATAAGTCAAACTGAGCACTCCATTAATTTAACGATAACATACAGAAAACTGACCATACACAGAATGGACCTTACTCGCACTAAGATGTTCACCTGCGGAGTATCAGATTTTCCTGTGGTACAACACGGGCAACTCCTCAAGATGCAAGATATTTCCTTTCTCCGTGGATCTTCTTAGGTCCAATCAGAAATGCCCCAATGGAGTGCTCAGGTACAACGGGAAAAGAATCAGCAGCCGTTTGTGTGTGTGTGTGTGTGCGCTCGTGCATTCAGAAATCCCTCCAGGCCAGTGTTTGGACTCAGAAGCACAAACAATCCCTTGCCGGAGAAACCAGGTCCCCAGGGGAGAGGAGAGGTGAAGGAGGCTCTGGGGCGCCAGGATGGGCACAGGAGTCAGGATCTGAGCTGGAAGAAGAGGACATCCATAAGCAGGAAGCTGCAGCCCCTGATTCTTTCTTGGGACCCACAGGAAGACGGGGGGAAGGGTCGTCATGGCTCCCAGGAGCCATCCTACCCCAGCAGATTTTTGACCCTACCTCCCAGCAAGAAGCATCTGGTCTGAGCAATGAATCAAGAAGAGCTTGTTTTGTGCCAGGCAGCTTCTTCAGCTTGGCTTTGCCCTGGGAAATAATGAGAACCATATCTTGGACATGTGCAGAAGCACCACAGTAGAACATAAGAACATCAGAGAAGCCAATGTTGGATCAGGCCAAAGGCCCATCCAGTTCAACACTCTGTATCACACAGTGGCCAGAAATACCAGGTGCCATCAGGAGGTCCACCAGTGGGGCCAGAACTCCAGAAGCCCTCCCACTGTTGACCCCCCCCCAAGCACCAAGAATACAGAGCATCACCTGCCCCAGAGTCCCTATCCATACCTTGTGGCTAATAGCCACTGATGGACCTCTGCTCCATATGCTTAGCTAATTCCCTCTTGAAGCCGTCCATGCTTGTAGCCGCCACCACCTCCTGTGGCAGTGAATTCCATGTGTTAATCACTCTTTGGGTGAAGAAGGACTTCCCTTTATCTGTTCTAACCCAACCGCTCAGCAATTTCATGGAGTGCCCACGAGTTCTTGTATTGTGAGAAAGGGAGAAAAGAACTTCTTTCTCTACCTGCTCTATCCCACACATAATCTTATCAATCTCGATCACGTCATCCCTCAGCTGTCATTTCTCCAAGCTAAAGAGCCCCAAACGCATTAACTTTTCTTCATAGGGAAAGTGTTCCAACCCTTCTACCATTCGAGCTGCCCTTTTCTGCACTTTTTCCAATGCTATAATATCTTTTTTAAGGTGTGGTGACCAGAACTGTACACTGTATTCTAAATGAGGTCGCACCATTGATTTATATAGGGGCATTATGATATTGGCTGATCTGTTTTCAATACCCTTCCTAATAATCCCCAGCATAGCATTGGCCTTTTTTATTGCAGTTGCACACTGTCTCGACATTTTCAGTGAGTTATTTACTACGACTCCAAGATCTCTCTCTTGGTCAGTCTCTGCCAGTTCAGACCCCATCAACATGTATTTATAGTTAGGATTTTTGGCTCCGATGTGCATCACCTTGCATTTGGCCACATTGAACCCCATTTGCCATGTTGATGCCCACTCGCCCATCCTCGACAGATCCCTTTGGAGTGCCTCACAATCCTCTCTGGTTTTCACCACCCTGAACAACTTCATATCATCCGCAAATTTAGCCACTTCACTGCTTACTCCCAACTCCAAATCATTAATGAACAAGTTAAAAAGCATCGGAAAGAGTACTGATCCCTGCGGTACCCCACTGCTTACCACCTTCCACTGAGAAAATTTCCCATTTATACTCACTCTCTATATTCTATTAATTAGCCAGTTTTTTATTCATGTTTGTTCACCCCCTCAAAGAACACTAACAGGTTAGTGAGACAAGATCTTCCCTTACAGAACCCATGCTGAGTCAGTTTCCACCAATTTACCCAGTATCGATGTCAGACTGACTAGCCTGTAATTTCCCGGATCTCCTCTGGAACCCTTTTTAAAGATGGGAGTGACATTAGGTACCTTCCAGTCCTCAGGAATGGAGGCAGATTTTAATGAAAGATGACATATTTTTGTCAGGAGATCCACAAGTTCACATTTAAGTTCTTTCAGAACTCTCGGATGTATGCCATCTGGGCCTGGTGATTTATCAGTTTTTAAGCTGTCTGTCAGTCGTAGGACCTCCTCTCTCGTCACCTCAATCTGACTTAGGTCTTTCAACACCCCTCCTGAAATCAGTGGTTCTGGAATGGGCAAGCACTTCTCATCTTCCACAGTGCATTCAGCCATTTCCCTATCATCCTTCAGTACTCCTTTTACCCCTTGGTCATCCAAGGGCCCCACTTGGATGTTTGGTGTAGTGTGCGCGGACTCTAATCTGGGAGAACCGGGTTTGATTCCCCACTCCTCCACTTGCACCTTTTTTTTTCCAATCTCTTCTTCTTCTACTACTGCCTCCCTGGCTGGTTTCCTGCTTCTAATGTATTTGAAGAAAGTTTTATGGTTGGTCTGTCTGTTTTTCACTATATGTTCCTCATATTCCCTTTTTGCCTGCCTGATCACAGACTTGCATTTTATTTGTCACAGCCTGTGTTCCCTTTTATCAGCCTCACTGAGACTAGCTTTCCACTGCTTAAAGGAATCCTTTTTACCTTTTACAGCTTCCATTACTTTGTTGTTAACCATGCAGGCTTTTTTCTATACCTATCTGTGCCTTTCCTAACCTGCGGTATATATTTTTTCTGAGCTTCTAGGATTATAGTTTTAGTCTCCAAGCTTCCCCAATTGTTTTGACCCTTTCTACTTTTCCTTTCAGTTTCCTCCTCACATGTCCCCTCATATCAGAGAAGTTACCCCTTTTAAAGTTAAAAGTGGCTGTGTCAGTCTTTTTGGCCAATTCCCTATTTATACAAATGTTGAACTCAACAGCATTGTGGTCACTGTTCCCAGGCGGTGCCACGTTCTGAGTCCAAAAGCACTGGAGAGTTAGGGGAGCCAGTGTTCCTTAGACAGATGGGACAACCCCACCCCTTGATGCCCCAGCTCAGCCTGCCTGGGTATTGCTGGAAGTCTGTAGCCACACCTAGGCCCACGTTGCTGTGTTTACGCCCTGAGCACCCTGCTACTTTCCTCGTCGTGGTTCCGTGGCAGTACTAGTCCAGAGAATCCAACAGTTATTTGGCCCCGGAAGAAGTCAAAAGTGCTTATCGCCTTGGCCTTTTTTAAAAAAAGAGGGGAGGGGCTGGATGCAAGAGCAGGGCAGCCCTTCTGGGAAGTGCCAGGCGGCAGCAGTTAAGGACCTGCCCCATCGACCCACAAGCCCCCAAAGGCACTCCACACATGCTCAAAGGCATCCTTATTACTGCACATCTCTGCCAGGGAAAGACACTTGCTAGTGGAGCCCTGGTCCTCCACTTCTCAGAAACCAAGCTCTGGTACCTGAAGTATCCCAGAGGGAAGGATGGCACGGAGGGAGTGGGGATGCTGGCCCTCCTGTCCCCACCTCCCACCCCCTCTGCAGCCGGAGAGCAGCAAGGGATGATCCGGGTCCGCCCTGCCTGCTTGTCCCCCCCCCCACCTCCGGCAGCAGCTGTCACCCAGCACAGCAGAGCGCTGACCTCAATTCCTCTCTGGGGGAGGGGAGGGGAGATGTCCTTCTGGCCGAAGGGCCAGGGAAGGGGCCAGTCACCCTTCTTTTCACCCTTTGGTGGGGCAGGGCAGCCATCAGCCGCTGAACAGGCAGCACAAGTTTCCACTCGGGCTATTTTTACTGCGGCTTCCTCCCCTCCCCCACCCCCTATTTTTGTGCATTAAGCACAACAACGCCATGTGTGCATGTATATATTTAGGAAGAATTAAAAACTGTTCTGTGAGCCCCTGGGAATTGTAGGAGAACCAGGCCAGGAGGAGAGGGTGACTTTGTCAGAAGACCTTGGGTTGGTTTTTGCTTTTTTTAAAAGATGCTGTCTAAAATGAAGGGGAAGGGAAGCAGGACGGTGGGGTGTGTGGAGAGAACAGGACCACAGTTCCAAACTCCACTGCCAAGCCTGGGGGGGATCCCCAGTCTCTCAGCCTCCCAAAAGTCCCTGCAGGATTTGGGCTTGGGCGCTCAGGCCGAACCCCACGGGAAGTGCTGTGACGGAGCATCCCCCCTTCCCGCTGTCACACTTGCTTGACCCCCTGGCCCTCCCTGGAAAGCTCTGCGTCCTGGCTCCTAAGGGGAACCTTCTCTCCTCCACTAACTTATGGCGTGCCTACCAAACCCAAATGGAAATGTAGCCCGATCGCTTTCCCCACTCAGGGCCACAGATTTGCATGCTGGAAAATCATCCCTGGAATCCAATCTCTGTCTCTCCTCCCACTTCCTGTTGGAGCAGTATTTGCAGAGGGACGCAGAGGTCCTGGCTGACTGCCAGCCATCATCACGTAGTACCCGGCTCCATCCAATAGACGGGGGGAGCAGGACACCCCCAAAAGCCCCTGCTTACTTCAAGTCAGCTCCTCATTTATTTCTTCCTTATGCATTTCATACACCCTTCAGCGCCCCCCCACTCCAGAGTCAAATCCAGGGTGTGAGTTGTAAACGGCAGGCTTTCGAAGATCCCTGTCCTCGCCGTCCCCAGGGCCTCTCCCAGCAGCACCCATGCAAATCAGGCCGCCGGAGGAGTCAGTCCCCTTTCCTCAGCTTGCTGTGCTGCTGCCTGGCGTAGGCTCTGACCCCAAACCAGCCCACAATGCTGGCCAGAAGCAGGAGCAAGAGCAGCATCACTCCGAAGGTGGAGAGGAAGGTGGGCACCCTGGGCAGCAGTGGGGGCCCCATGCCCAGCTCCTGGATCTCCCCTCGAATCATGTAGAGTTCGTCCAAGATGCTCATGAAGGTGCAGCAGTGGAACCACTGATGGCTGTGGCCCCAGATGTCAAATTTCCCAGGGCTGAAGCGCTCGGGGATCTTGCTGACGTTGAAGATCCCCGAGGCCAGCAGCCAGAAACAGTGGCGGAGGAAGAAGCGGCTGGTCCCTTGGCCTCCACCAGCCCACATCTTGTGGAAGACTGGGATGGAGACCACCACAAAAGGCAGCAAGAAAACCAGCGTGCGGATCAGGTAGCGGTACTGCTGCCACTGGTGGCGGGTGCTGCAACAGGCCAATGTACAGAAGAGGGCGATGAGGCAAGCCGTGGGCACATACAAGGCCTCAAACCAGGTGCCCATTCGGCCCATCAACGCAGAAAGCCAGCCAACGCACTCGCCGCCTGGCCAAGGGCTGGAGGAGAGATTAGTGGCACCGTCTGTTGCCACTGGGGGTCCTCGCGGATGGATGTAGTAGAAATAGGCCAAGGAGGAGCCCACCGTGTAGGCGCTGATGGTCCCGTAGTCGATGTAGAAGCAGATCTCCCGAATGACCAGGGACATGGAGTTGAAGAGGTGCGCCATGCTGCTGGCAACCAGGAGGCCGCAGACGCCCAGGAAGTAGTTCCAGAGTGGGTAATAGAAAGGGTCCAGCAGCTCCCTCGGGCCAGGGCCTTCGCTCCAGAACTGCTCCAGGAAGTGGAAAGCAAAGACGAAGACGGCCAGGAAGTGGGTCCAGAAGTTGCCCGTCTCGTTGGTGGGCTGGAAGGCCGAGACCAGGCACTGGGCAAAGGTGTAGCCCGGGCAGCGGTAGCCACTCAGGATGAAGCTCTCCGTCACACTAGGAGGCACTTCACTGGAGCGCAGCAGCAAGGCCCGGGGCTTGTGGGCCCACAGGGGCATCTTGCCCCCCACGCCCATGGGGTGGCCCGCCTAAGCCCCTGCCAGTCCCTGTGCCTCCAGAGATCCGTGGAATCAGCCCTCCTTTGGGCTGGAGAGGCCTGATGGAGAGAGAAACGCAGCGGCATGAGCGGAGCCTCTGGCCCCTCTCCCGGGCGCGCACCCCCACCCCGCGCTGGGAGGGGGGACAAGGAGGAAAAAGGGAAGCGCTTCCGAGGAGGACGGCCTGCCTTTTTTGGCGGCGGGGGAGGCTGCTGCGCCCCGGTTGCTAGGCAGAAATCTGCCGGCGCTCTGCAGGCTCCGAGCACCACGACGACGACGGCTGTCTCCTGGCCTGGCCTGCTCGGAGCAGGAGCCGCCGCGGATTCCGCTCTCGGGGCGTCGGTGGCCGGAGGAGCAGGTGCCGCTGGGCGAGCTGGATGCGGCAAGGAGAGCGTGGGACCGTGCCCCCGCTCCTTCGCCCGCCCCCCGCCCGCCGATGCTGCGGCTCCGGCTGCT